CAGGCCTTAGATGCAGTCTTATGACATTCTTAGCTGTAGGGTTATGGAAGTGAGTGTTTATTAATCCATTACCAGAAGTTTTTTTTTTTTTTTTTTTTGGTCTTTTTGAGACAGGGTCTCACTGTAGCCCCAGCTGGCCTGGACTCACTATATAGACCAGGCTGGCCTTGAACTCACTGAGATCCACCTCTCTCTGCCTCCCAAGTGCTGGGATTAAAGGCCTGTACCACCACACCCAGCCCATTCCCAGGAGTTTCATGTGGTCGATAAAGGGATCCTAAGTTAGACGCAGTGGTGAGCCATGAAGACTATTAAGAGACTAAAAGTCAACTCAAGATAATTTGGTTCTGGATCAACAAAGCTGCCAGTCAATCAACTTTGTAGAGTCCTTATTAATGTCAAATGTCTTTTTTTCCCCCTGAGAACTTCAGTTCACAGAAAGCAAATGAGATGTATTTGAGATGAAGATGCAGATACTGGGTGGACCAGCAGCAGTCCTGGCTGACAGAGCGAAACTCCCAGTTAGAGCCTGGCTTCAGTGAGCTGCTGGTACCTGGTGATAGCCATGCTGTGAAAACTAGTGTGTGGGGAAAGAGCCTAGAACCTCAAACCTACAAGAGGGACTGCTCAGGCCTGGGCTGTCTAGGATGCGAGTGCCAAATTCAAGTGTTTGAATTCTCAGAACTAACAAAACCTTAAGACAGACAGAATGAATTGTGGTCTATATGTTGAGAGAGAAGTCTACCCTGAAACCTAACCTGAGAAATCTGCTAAAGGAACTGTGGGGATGCACGGGCTGATAGGCTCAGTCACCAGGCTGCTTACAAAACCAACAGGCTGAATTTTATCCATAAAGCCTTGACTGCTGGGAAACCTAGTTAACGAAGGAAGAATTCATAGTTTAGAATTCTTTAAGATAAACTGTTACTTAGAGTGCCTCAGCTTTGTGCTTCCAAAAACCCTAGCTAAATTCAAACACTGTCTCTGCTCTCCACCCCGAAGAACCTTAGAGAGCAGCCGGTGGAGTCTCCCTCCCTCTCTGCATTTCAGTAGCTGTTTGCTTTTAAGTTCATCTCAACATCTGATTCTTTTCACTTTATGTCAACAATGCAGTAGAAAAGACATGTTTGATCTGAATGAACCAGGAAAAACATGTAACTTGCACACATTTTCTTCACACTCTTTGAACAATGGAATAGTCACATATAGGCATTTTAGTCAAGGATGTTGGTGTTTAAGAGATTTGCTGTCCTCTGAATTGCTGCAAGTTTTTGGATGCTGTTGTGACAAGTCTGATTTGGATAGAGATGGACTTAGAGGTTTAAATAAATGAGAGCTAAAATGTGTATGATCTCTCTGAATTCTTAGAAGTCCACCTTAAATTATTTGAAGGGAATAAACTTTAGTAGACAGAGTTGGCCAGAGTATGCTAGAACTTTACAGATTTAATTAGCCAGCATTAAACAATGCATGGTCAAAACTTGAAAATTATACACATTAATATGCAATGTCTTAAAATCTTGTCTTCATAAATTTTCTGCAGGCCTGTCTCACATACCAACTTACATTTATACACAAACATGATTTCACTCTATTACCCACTATCATTTATTGTTTATTTTGCTGTTTCCCTGGGGAATTAATTTCTATGCTCCTTTATTTTGAGAATTACCTTTCATATTTTTTGCTCAATTTTAGTAGAGCATACATTTTATATCTTGATTTTAAAGACTATTTACATTAATGGGTTGTCTGTTGTATGCACACATTTCTGTATGTAGTATTCTTGTTGTAGAAAGGTTGCATATTTCTGTACAGTAAAGCCAATGAATTCTGGCTTTTAAACCAGGCTAACCCAATACACTAACACCACACACACACATACACACACACACACTGAGGCATACACACACAGAAAGACACATACAGAGAGAGAGAGAGAGAGAGAGAGAGAGAGAGAGAGAGAGAGACCTGCAAACACATGGGCACAGGCACAGATTTATTCCTAGATTTTAATTTTTTCCTAAACTTCTACCATTATTGATATTTATAATTTATTCTTTGAAACAGGTATGTGAGAACCATTGTATGTTATCAAAATCCTTAATAGTCTTAAGAACATCTCTACGCAGTCAGATTTTCTCTGGTGTTGTAATAAATGATCTGGTGGAGACCTTCTGGGTCTTCTAGGTCTTCTTTTTTCTTCAATGATCTGGCAGTTCCATAGCAAGTGCTTCACTTGCTGATGGGTTTACTGGTTCATAAGGCAGGCTCCTTGATCTTCAGTACCTGCCTTATGTCACAGAAATAAAACTTTAGATTTTGAATACTAAATTGTTGTGGGCTAGCAAGAGCAGACAGGCACATCTCTGGGGAGGGGATCTTTTCCTTCCCCAAGTGACACTGGCTCCTGCTTCAAGAAACTGAACCCAGCCTTGGGCTAAGTAAACAAACAGGATACCTCAGGATATCTCACTTTCTGTAGGCCCCAAGGGGGGGAGTAGAGTGGAGACTGGAACCAGGACATGGAGATACAGCATGTAGTGGTGTCTAGATTCTATACCCTAGTGGTGACTCTTCAGGAGGTGAGGCAGGGGCCAGGTGTGACTGGAGAAGAGCAGGTGGGCATAGGATTGAAGTGTTGGTATTCCCCCCAGCATGGCCAGATTCCCGAGCAGAGGACAAGAGGGACCAGCGGGAACTAGGCACACATACCAGTGCAAGATGAGGCTTTTCCTGTGAGATGGGGACTCCTGGGACATTTTGTCCAGGGGAATGACACCATGTGGACCAATTTTTAGCAGGTCACCATGACCATAAGAATGCCCCAGGTGGGTTATGGGTGGTACTGGGAGGCTGTTTTGAGGCCTGGGACTATGCTGGGTCTTATGGCCAGAGGGTTAGGTATGTGCCCAACTGGGACATGTTTCGAGGAACTTGTGTGGGAATCAGATGTGAAGATCAGAGGGGAAGAAGATGCTCTGGGCAAAACACTGCCTATTCCAGGATGAAGAAACCAAAGAAGGGACAGGGGTTTTGTTTATGAATGGTTTAAAGAAGCTTAAACCATAGAAGTTTAAAGAAGATTGAAGTAATTTTTTATTTTCAGATACTATGAAAAGGAAAAGGCCCACGATTATCTAGATGAAGGACTGGAGTCGCTGGGTTCTTGGTGCAGGAGTCGACTTCTGGGTTGGAGTGGAGCAGGGAAGAGACCAGTCCCTTCTCTGCTTTGTCTAGATTTGGCAACCAGCTGCTCTCGCCTTACAATCTTGTGTCTGGATGTGTCCATGGGTTTTGGGTTTTCTGAGGATGGTGGGCAGTGTCTCCAGAGGTGTAGGAAGGAGCACACAAGACCCTCTTGGATGCTGCATCACATTTATGTCAGAGCACACAATTATCTCCTGCAAACTAAGTGTAGTTGGGCCTGAGTGAATGTTTTCATAGAAAAAAAGTGATTAGAATAAAATTACAGTTTTGACTTAGAAGACTTAATTATCTCTAACTTGATTTTGTTCCCGACTTTTAATTTTCTTAACATTTTCAGAAGCAAGGTTTCCTTGAGCTCTTGTCACCTGGTTCAGATGGCAAAGGAAGGCAGCAGATGGCCCATGTCAGGTCTTTGTTGTTCTGTTTGATCTAATTAGCTAACTTTTAAATGCATGGTATTAAATATTAAAATGTGTGCACCCTGGTGTCTCAGCATTTGTGACAAGATGCCTGAACAACCGTGCAAGGGAGGAGTTACTATGACTCACAGCGTCAGAGATTTTCGTCCATCTTTGCGGCTCTGTTCCTTCGTGCCTTGGTGAGTCAGTGCATCGTGGAGGTGGCGTGGAAGTATGTGGACGGTGTGCTCACCTCATGGCAGACAGAAGCAGAGAGAGAACAGGAAATGACCAGGGCAAGATATGTACTCAAAGGCATGCCCCTGGTGACCTACTTCTTCTAACAGGGTCCTGCCTTCCACAATTGTACTACTTCCTAGTAGACTAACTTCTGAATCCGCTAGTGGGTTAAGCCACTGCTTAGGTCAGAGCCAGCATAATCTAATCCTCTTTAGAAGCAACCTCACAGACATTTCTGTTCGTTACTAGTCTCCTGGACACTTCTCAGTCCAGCCAAGTTGACAGTTGAGATTAACCATCACAAAATGTATAATTTAAATATCATATTCACTTGTTAAAGGTCTTCTACCCTCTTCTTCGCCTTCTTTCTACACAGCTTCTCTCACCTCTAAATGTAGTCCAGGTGTTTCCCTTTCAGTGTCCCTGGGTCCAGGGACTTTCCTCACCAAGAGGACTCACTGATGTCATAGGTGCAAGCTGCTTTACTTGATGAGTTTGTTTATATTGTGCATGAGTGTGTGCTTGGCATACTGACAGGACGCAGATTGCTACTGTACCTTTTCATGTCAGCTGGGAGCACTGCTTGTCCTGAGCAGTGTGAACTCTTTCCTCAGAAGGCAGGAGCCTGCTGTGACTCTCCTTGATAACTGCTCCTGTGTCATGTTGTGGGCTGTGGCTGCAGGCCAGGGTCTGACCACTTCTGCTGTCATTAGTCTGAGTGCTGCTGTTCCTTATCACAACTGATCCTGAAGGCATCTCAGTGTCCCAGAGGCCTGTACCTAGAAATGGTGAGACTGCCCTGCCGCCCTGAACACCAGCTGCAGGTGGGAACAAGGATTACCTAGTACATCCGGTATGAGGATGTATAAGCCTCTCACTCGCGGAGTCAGGGAAAACCCAAGCAGCATCGATAGGGTGCCAGAAAAACCCAGCTTCTCAGAGAGCCAAGGGCCATCCGGAGGGAAAACCCTCTGTCAAGTACTAATATTGTATATGTAAGCCCATTGGGTTTCCAGCATAAATAAAGAGGTACTCATAGGAGAACTATGTATATAGGTTGAAAGGTGGTGCCCAAAAGCAAATACCAACAATTTCTCATCACTGAGGCTCCTGGACTCACAGCATTTTGTTCATGCCACTTTGTGTCCACAGACCAAAACTGCCCTCGCCTTGTTGTATGATGAAAGGTTGGAAAATGCCTATGATGTCCGGCTGAAGCTGACGAAAGAGGTGCTGACTATTCAAAAGCAAGACGTCGTCTGTGTGGGGGGAGCTCATTCCAGTGCCAATGTAAGTGCTCCTGTTTCCAGGGTGTGTCTGGAAACAGTCCAGGTCCAGGAACTACGAGAAAAACCTTCAAAAATCACTGCTGAGGAAGGTTTCAGTGAGAAGCTGGAATAATGATTCAACTGCCCTCAGCAATTGGCTCATTACACCACAAAATGAAATATCGTTTTTGTGGTTGCATATCATCTACCTTCTCCATGTTTTTTTTTTCATTATGTATGTGGGGGTGTGGTGTATGCATGTGTGTATGTGTGGGAGGCAGGTGTCTCAGCATGTGTGCGTGTATGCGTGTGGAGGGCAGAACGTGACACTGGGTGTCCTCTTCTGTTGTTCTCCGTCTTCTTTTATGAAACAGGATTTCTCACTGAACCCAGAGCTCTTCATTTTGACTAGACTAGGTGGCCCCCTGGATCCACCTATGTTGCCTCCCCTCCCTCCATACACCAGTGCTGAGGTCACAAGCACATGCTGCCATGCACAGCCTTTTTATAGACGCTGGGGATTCAATCTCTAGTACTTGTGTTTGCGTGGCAGGCACTTTGTCCACTGAGCCATCTCCCAGGCTCTCCTGTTTCTCACCCTGAACAGTTTTACATATAGAGTAGCTCCATGTGCCACACTCCATGGTGGATAATCGACTTGCTGGAATAGCAGGGACTCTAGAGTCCTACTTGCTGTGACCAACCATGACAGAAATAAGCAGGCCTCAGCCTTAGTGTGCTTTGTGCTGACCACGGGGCTGTGGATGCTTTGTGGGTTTTCATGATTTCCTTGTTTAAATTGTTTGCTTAACTTGAAAGTGGCATTTTCTTAAAGGTCAGACATTTACTTATTATATGTGGTAGAGCATTGAATAATTAGGAAGAGGCTGGTGAATTTTCATTTCACAGTTTGACTCAGACCCACTGCAAGTTAGATAAATCATACCCAAACCATTGTTGTCTTCCTAGTCCTCCCCATCACAGGTTTAATTTTGTTTCTGTACACTGCCAGCATGAGACAGGCAACTTTCATTTCCGGCTTCTTCAGATATGTCCATTAGATACCAAACTGGTGTTCAAAAAATCCTTGTGGGGCCCTCCTATATAAGTCTAGACTGTATATGGAGAGAACCTTGTGGAATACACCTATAGCAAGTCCAGGCTTCATATAGGGAGAGAGCTCTTTGGGGGTCCCCAGTAACAAGTCCAGTCTGCATTAGCATCTTAAGGAACGTTATACTCTAAACACCCTTATTCCTGCATTCTATTTGAAAGTTCTTCTGTGGCCCACTTCCCAAATCCTTCTTTCCACCCCAGGAGCACCTGCAAACTCTGGGTCCTCTGTGGTCCAGGGCCCTGAGGAAGGATGCCTTGTCCTTTCTGCCTACTTCCTTGAACTGTATCTCATGTTCTGGACTCAGATAACCATAGCTTACCAGACCATAAAGGTGGAGTGTAGCAAGTTTTGGACACTATTGTTTACAGTTCAGAGTGGCCTGCAGAATCATCTCCATGTGAGCATCAGTAAAGGGCTGGGGGCCAAGCCAGAGGAAAGACAGATAAGGCTCTCTCCTGATGTAAAAGAAAAAGGCATAAGAGCTTCATCTCAAGTGAGTGAAATCAATCCCTACCTTAGGTGTGAATCAGAATACCTGTCCCCTCTGCATGAGGCTACAGAAAGGGGAAACAAAGGCAAATATCCTTAGAGCTCCCTCGACATAAGCTGTCCTCACTGGGTCTAGAGTTGTTATTTCTATGCCCTGTGAACCACTGACCCTCTGACTAGGAATGGAGTTTAAAAAGTGGCATCACATGCCGTTAATCCCAGCACTCAGGATGCAGAGGCAGGTGGATCTCTGTGAGTTTGAGACCAGATCAGCCTGGTCTACCTAGTAAGTTCCAAGCCAGCCAAGGCTATATAGTGAGACCCTATTTCAAACAGACAGACAGACAGATAGACAAAACAAAAAAAAATGTGGAGTCAGCTTTGATTATCCAGTATATGTAATGAAGTATCCTCTACAATGCTCATGCATCAAAGGTTGGTTGATCTAGTCATTTTGGGGAGATTGAGCATGAGGATCCTGACTATCTGACAGATCAGTCCACTGATAGATTCATCCTTGGGTGGCACCACTGGGAAGAGCTGGAAATACTAGGGAATAGGATCTAATTGGAGCAGGAAGGCTGCTGGAGTGTGCCTTTGAAACTTTATCAGGTGCCCTGTGCCTTTTTTCCTGACTCTCTGATTCCTAGCTACCACAAAGTGAGCATTCTCCCTGCCAAGAAGGCTTTGCCTCACCACAGGCCCAAGAAATGGGGGCCAAGAAACTACAGGAACTAAAATCCCCAGGACTATGAACCAATATTGACCTTCCTTCTTGCAGATAGTTTCTCTTGGTTGTCACAGTTATAAGAAAATGGCCAGCACACACAGGTACCAAGTAGAGGCAAAATACATGTTTTCTTTCTAGGAATTTGGGTTTCAGTCCTAAAATGACCTGATTTGTGATGTAAAACACATAGATTTATTGCCTTTTAGTGCCCAGATCTTTGAATTATGCAGTGTGGGACAAAAAACAGATACTGGGGACATGAATCAACAAATACAATGAAAATAATAGGAAAAAATATCCACAGATTACAATAAAAGCAGACGCATAATCAGAATCTCACTGTAGCAGTTAAGACTCAGGTTAGACCAAAATGAAAATTCTGGGTTACAAAGTGGAGCTGAAGAATCTGCTCTGAGTGAAATGCAGAGTTGGGGAATGTAAAACAGGCTCAGAGACCTGGGAGGGGAGTGAGATCACTGAACCTCAGGCAGGGCAGCAATGTGCCTTGGGAGTCCAGAAGAGAGGCCAGTTCATCACAGTGCTGATGAAATATACAAGTTCTTAGACCTAGGAGGCCAGCAGCTCCCAAGACTGTTAGTAAAAAGGAATCAGCCAACTCCCCAGGGCTCTCTCATCTGGTTCCATCCAGGTGGGCTGGCCTCAGAAGTCCCTGGAAGGTTTGTTCCTTCTCTCTGCCTCCTGAAGACTTATGCAGTGCAGTGCTAGTGAGCTGTCTTCTTTGTGGTTAAATCCCGTAAGTCCACACACTGCTGTCAGATTTTACAACTAGGTCCAGGATGGTCTAGTGCCCTTTTTGTACTGGCCCTGACCTGCCCCCCTCTGCCTCTCTGCCCATCCTCCATGGAAGTCTCAGAACCCCTTTGTCTGGCTGCCTGCCCTGCTAGATCACATTCACATTCACACCAAGATCATGTCCTTTCATCTTTGTTTCTTACAGCTTTACAGTTCTATCAGTGTGTCAAAAGTGAGTTCTGAATGAGCAAGTTTGTGAATGCACACATAGTTGCATTTCTATAGCATGTGAATTAACTTCAAGGACATCTGATGATGTTCCTGCATCAGTAATAACACATCTCCAAACCTTCTAAAGTCATTTTCAGAGTGTCCCTGGAAGATCTCAGTGGTCCTGGAGCTTGTTAAATAAACCAAATTTATTACTTAGGTAGCAAGTCAGATGAAGGCATTAAAGAGAGGCCATTTTAATTTGAGTTAAAAAGATTAAGCTCTCTAGGATCAGTGAAGTTACTGTTACACTTCAGTGATAATGTCCTTTTCTGGTAAGTTCCTTTATGAGACACAGAGTGCTATTCTTTCCTTGTGATGAAGCAGTGCGTCATTACTAACTTCATTCACAGCAATGTAGATTCATGTCGTAGTTTGCATTTTTGCTTGTTTTAGGAGTTCATCGATTAGGAGTAGGTATCACCCCTAGCTTTGTTAGTTTACTTTTTAAATGATTAACCTTAATATTTATTGCTTTAGTTTCTTAAATTTATATAAGTGAGTGACTTACCTCTTTTTATCATTTAGCAAACTAAGTAGTGTAATGACAACCCTTCTCAACTAACCTATTTCACCAGCAACATATGTTTTCCTGTTGATGACTGCATCTTGACAGACACTTGTTCGTTTCCTATTTTATTTCCATTTCTCTTGGCTCCCAGTGTAAAATCCACTTCCGTTTTCAAAAGACAACTTCCACATGTACATTCGTATAATTAGTTTTGATCTTTTCACCCTGCCCATCTTTTTCATTATGTGGGATGTTGGTTTAAAGGATGATCTGCCCATATCTCCACAGCTTGCCTCTTTGACTTCTGGGGAGCTGTGGTAGGTCTGCTAGACAGAGGGGTCTCCAAAAGCCCATCTGTGAAGAAAAGCTTCAAAGTGTAAGGCTACGTGAGAATGGCCGACTCTGCTCCTGGAAAGCAGCAGTATATCAGCTAAGCTCTGAGGTTCTCATGTCCAAGAATGATCTGCAAGCTGAAGATCAATGACTGGAGAGCCATGGGAGCACACTACGGTGTGTGATCCACTCGTTCTCACAGCGTCTCCCCATAAAAATATATACATCCTTGCAGATTGATAAGCATGGTTTTACAGAAATAAATCTTGCTTATGAAAATTAGTGAATGCTTTTCTACATGTGTGAGATTTAAGGTCCGTTCCTGTTTGGAATATATTTTTCCCATACTTCAAATAACCCAGTTTTGAAACTTTTGAAAAACACTTCCAAAATAAAACCCAAAGAATATTTGTGAAATATTTGTGTGAGGGGGAGGGTATGTGTGTGCGAAATAAAATACCACAGAAATTCTTTCTCTAACGCTCAAATTCTTAAAATTTTCCTTTCTGTTCCCTCAGTTATGTCTCTCACACACATTACTTATCTAATTAATTAATTATACATCTCTACATTGTTGGCCTCTCACAGCTGTCCCTTCTCTTCTTGCAAGGGGATCCCAGGTAGTGTGAGAGAGACATCAGAGGGAAGTGGTCAGAAAGAGAATTGGGTGATGGCAGGAGACTTGGTATGGTTCCCACTACCCACATAAGAAGGACCCATGGGGGGAGGACAGGCCTGGTGCCATAATGACACAACAGCATGTTTTAACTGCAGAACTGATGGAACCTGTTTCTCTGAGAATCATAGCATTCGGAACCAGACACAAGTTTGTAACTAAAATAAATTTTAGTACTAATTCTAGAAGTATGTGAAACAATAGTGGGTATAAAAGTCCACAGAAACTTGAAGAGCAATATTTTAGTGGACCAGAGTAAGAAAGCCACCCTTAAGTACTTCAAAGTCACTGTTGTGTTTAATGAAAACAGATATAATGGGTAAGAATTATCCATGTTGAAGCTGGGCGTGGTGGCAACACCTTTAATCCCTTTAGTCCCAGCACTCTGGAGGTTGGCATAAGTGGCAGATCTCTATGAGTTTGAAGTCAGCCTGGTCTACATAGTAAGATTCTGTCACAATAAAAAAATAATTATCTGTATATGTCATAGAAAACATCTCTGTCTGGACATATTTGTAGTCAGAAGGAAACATGGAAAAAACCAAATCCAGTTCAACGAGTCCTTTGCCAAGCTGTGAGCATGGATCAACTGTCATGGGACAGTGCTAGACACTGAGAATTAAGTGCAGTTTCTTCTGAAAGACTTTTTCTTACACACTGGGGAGGAGCATGGAATAGAATTTGAAAAGTCACTGAACGTTATCCTGCAGAGTACTCATTGTCTAGAAGGAAAGCTTTGCCACACATCAACAGTTCCCAACCTGTTCTAATGACTAGCGAGGACCTGTGAAAGGAAAGTGAAGAGCCCTCGTTTGTAGGGGAATGTCCAGGCTTCGTAAAGTGACAGTCATTTTAAGCTTGAGCTTCTTTCAGATCCTTGGCCAGACCCCATAGCTTTGACTCCGAAAGGTGGCCCCACTTCACCTGACTTCACTGATTTAAAGAGTCCTCTTCACCATGGTGGATTCTCTTCGGATATCTGTCTTGACCATGATGGAAAACTCTGCTCAGAACTTTAATCTAAAATGATCTGTGCTGATGTGGCTGGAGACAGGGATTTTAGCAGGGCCTCGGGGTGCAAGGGCTCAGTCAAAAGTTTTGTTTCCACAAATTTTGCTTTGAGAAATGTTAGGTATGCTAAAGTTAAAAATCATTTCAGAGTCTTAACAATCGCATAATGATCACTTAGAAGTAGGCTGAGCCTTTTCTCAACTGAAGAGTGAATGAGGTCATTGTAAAAGATTAACTTTGCTCAGAAGAAACCAGCCATCTTGATTTTTGAAGGAATGTCACAGTTTTCTTTCCAAGATGCTTTCCATCCCATAATGAGCTTTTTTTGGCTTTCTGTTTAGACTGTTTAGATTGCTATGACAAAGTACCTCAGGGGGATAAGGGTTTAAACAATAGGCATAGTTTTAGAAATCTAAAATCAAGTTGTGGGTAGATTCACTTCCTGCAGAGGGCTCTTAATGTGTCCCGGCATGGGGAACAAGTGAGAGTGACAGAGAGGCAGGGAAGAGAGACAGGGACAAGGAGAAGCGATTGGAGAGAGGAGAGAGATGGAGAAGGAGCAGAACAGAAAGAGGGACAGAGAAGAGGGAATGGGGAGAGGACAGCAGGTCTGGCATCTTTTTGTCTATTTTTAAGGGTAGTAGCCCTTTTAGATTCCCCCTTTCTAACCTTATTTAACCTTAATTGTCTCCTGGTTGACCTTGTTAAGTATAGTCTCACTATATTCTAGGACTTCTTGTGACTTCTGTATATGAATATTAAGGGACACAGTTCAATCCACAGTAAAATATCCTTATTTTTCCAGGTTGCTGAAACTCAATTTTAGAGAAATTTAGGACTGTCCAAATTTACACAGATAAAACACTTTAGCTTATTGCAAAGGGTAAATATTTAAATAAATATCATTCAACCAAAACAATATATAATGGGCTTTTCATGTTCCATTAAACAAATATTAAAGGTTCATGCAGTTGAGAGTGCTGCTCCAGAGTTTTGGTATGAATTAACTCATGTTGCTGGAGGCAATCAAGCTTCCTTTAAACTATCAAGGGACTCATAGGCTGTCTCAGGATATTTCCCTGAAGTCCTTTAGAAGTGAATAAAATGTTTAATTCAAAATGTCGCATTTGGCAAATTCTATTGAAGCAAAACCCAACTTGTTTCTTCTCCTGAAATGTTTTCTCTGACACACGTGGTGGCTGTCGGTGGGTTTATATTCATAACAACAGCTGAAACAGAAAATCATTATCGTGTATTTTCCACAATTCTGTATTATAGGCATCAGCCCTGTGCAATAGTGGGGGACTAGGCTTGTGTCCTGCTGCTCTAGAATGTTCCTTTAGAAGGAGGAGGTGAACAGTCCCCTCACCAATGGAAAACTGGCAGCACCTGTCTCCCCACTCCCTCCCTGTGCCTTCAGTATAGATGGAAGCCTTGCTTAGTGGGTGAACTTTCACTCGTTGTGAGACCTTATTGACTTGGAATATCAAGCTTCAGCATTTCGGGAGAAAAATGATAAGATTCCCATACACAAGAGTTCCCCTCCTTTCCGAATAGATGATGCACTGGCACTGACTGTCCCTACACTGGTTTTACTTTGACAGTTTTGTAGAGATAGTAATGGCAAAACTGCATATATTTCGTTGCCACGTGTTATATAGATTATTTGATTTACATGTACTTTGTGAAGTGATTGTTATCAAGTTAATTCATATGAACATTACCTCTTACGGCTACATTGTGCACCCTTGTGTGCAAATATGGGAATCCAGGTGTGGCCATGTAAGATCAACCCTCCTAGCAGATTTCAAGTGTATAATACAGTATTGTGTTGTAGTCAGAGCTCAGGAATGTGCCTTTTTGTTTGTTTGTTTGTTTGTTTCTTATTGATACAGAGTCTCATGTAGCTCAGGCTAGCCTCAAACCCCCTTTGTAGCCATGGATGGCTTTGAACTCCTTCCTGATCCCCCTGTGTCCATCTCCCAGGTGCTAAGATTATAGGCATGTGCCTCCACACCCAGCTAGTATTTATTCATCTTATAACTGACACTTTCTTCTCTGGCCAACATTGCCACATCCCCACCTTGTACCCCTGGCACCTACCATTCTATTGTGAGAGCCACTTCTTCAGGTTTCACATAGAGGTGAATTCACACAGTATTTGTCTCCTGGGCCTGCATTTTTTCAATGTATTAATAATACTTTCCAGTTCCTCTATGTTGACACAGATGTTAGGATGCTCCCCCTGTTCAAGGTTGAGTGGTATTCCACTGTGGAATCTCTATCCATTCATCTACATTTAGACACTTAGATTGTTTTCATATCCTGACTGTTGTAATTAATACTGTAATGAAGGTTGTTTAAAACTGTGTGCTGCCGCTGTCCCTTGCTTCAGTGTGGGTGACAATACTCCTGGTCCTTCAGGTAAGTACTGACAGTGTGCCTGCCATGGGAGCCAGGTGCACTTGTCACAGAAGCCTCTGCCTGTGATGATCACAGCTTGAACTCATTTGGATCTGGCCTCGGTGAGGAAAATGAAAGTGACCACTCTGACACTGAGGTGTCTGCAATGCAGCCCTAGAAATGAATGGTTCATCATTTAGACATATAAGCTGTGTACAAAATATAATGCTTCCATTTATAATGCAAGGCACTGGACAGTGGACACGTTTGCTCTAATATTTTAGTTTCTTTATTTTGAGTTTATGATGTATTTCTTCCTAAGAGCAAAATTACAAGTGGATGTGGCATTCGGTGAAAGGCACGCCCACATGTGGAGGATCCCGGTAGCTTTTCCTACCAGCCTGCTCTTTACATATACTATTGTGATCCTGAGCCCCATGCCTTGGCAGGGGTCATGGGAGCCCCTGCTCTGTCCTTCAGCCATGGCCTTGCACCTTTGTTCTTGCTTTTCAAACCCTGACTCATTTGGAGCCATTCAGTCTGGCAGCCATTACTTCTCAGTCAAAATGTGACCTTTGTGGTTCTTATGGTATTTTTTTAAGTAAAAGGCATACTTTTCTCTCATTACCTCAACGCTGGCCATTTTCCCAGGCCCTCTCAGCATGGTCCTGCCTGGGCTTCATGCAGCTGGGTGACAGGTTCTTACTCAACTTAGACCAAAGCACAATGCATTTTCTTATTTATATGTAAGATACTTGGAGATTTTAAATATTGTCAGTTACTATATTTTTAGCTTTTGTCATCACCAATATTTAAGCATTGTCTGCTGCCTGTGGTCAGAAGGCATGAAAAAAATTGGTTCTTCCTGAACACACACTGGTGACAATTGATTTAAACTCAGTGAAGACCTGTTCTGGGGCTGGTGGGAGGAGAGCAACTTTAAAAGTGAACCAAATTCATGATTAATCACTTTGGAGAGTGGAGGTGGGCACTGCCCTCATAGGGCTCCAAGTCATGAGCAAGATGGAGGTGAAATAACTGGTTTTTCATGAATTTTGCGTGGATTTCCAGTAATGCATGCAACATGGCCTGATTTTACCAGCAACCTCATTTGCCTGTGAGCAATGCCCCTTGCTGCTGCTACTGCAGAGGTTGGATAGGGCTACATCAGAAGTATATGTTAAGAATCATTTACATTTCGGGGCTGGAGAGATAACTCAGTGGTTAAGAGCACTAGCTGATCTTGCAAAGGACCTGGGTTTGATTCTCAGAACCCATACAGTGGCTAACAACCATCTGTAACTCCAGTTCCAAGGGAATTTGATGCCTTTTTCTGATCTCCATGGGCATTGGACAACATGGGTCCACTTACAAACATACAGGCAGTATATTTGTACACATTAAAATAAAAAATAATAAAGTGTTTAAAAAAGAATTGTTTACTTTTAAATTAGGAACTTATCTATGTACATTTTCTTTTCATTCAGTTTCTGAAAATGCATTGTAACCTAAACTTGTTTTTTCCCTAACACTTTTTAAAGCACAGAACTGTTACACTTCACAGACAGCCTGTGGGCGGCCTGGGGCTAAGCATCAAGGTATGAGTCTGTTTTCTTGCCATCCCTGCCCTTCCGGTCCTGAACGCTTCAGCGTCAGTCCTGATAACTGTTTCCTTCTCATGGCTCTGCCTTCTAGGGAGGAGTGGAGCATGGTGTCCCTGTCGTCATATCCAAAATATTCAAAGACCAAGCAGGTAAGAATGTCCAGAGTGACCTGTGTGCACATGCAACATTGTAAGGTCATAGATCATCTCAAGTGGCAGAAAGTAGACAATGCTTATTTGTCCAAATTGTTTAAGCTGCACTTCGTGGCTGTAGCTGTGTGTCATCTTGGAGGATGTGTCTGGTCCCCAATATGTGTTTCCTTTCTCATTTCTGCTGACTTTGCCAGCCCTTAAGAAACAAATTCTCTGTGTGATGTGTTGAGTTATTGCCAGAGAGCACTGATTACTGGAACTCTGAACAGTGAGTTTCTTTTGGTGATTTTAAAGCTGAGAAGAAGCAGTGTAGGTAGGAAACCAGTGGTGTTCACCGATATCTCTGGTATAAGAGCCTGTGGGCATGAGAGTGATGTAACCATTGCAGAATACTAGAACTGCTCAAGAGGAATCCAGGAGGAAAGGGAAAATGCTACTGCTTGGATCCTGGGCACTGACATCACAACATTAACTCCCACCTCAGACCACCAGAGGAACACCAGCTATATTTAGTAATGGCAGAACTAAGTCACTGAGAGTCCACATGTGCAGAAGGAAAAGGTGAGGCCAGAACTTCTACCCTGGGTAGGTCATTCTCTGCAAAATCATGATGTATCCTGGTGTCTTAAAACTTTGTAACGACACACTGACCTCAACTTCCATGATGGCCTCCTTTGCCCTTTGTCCACTGCTGTTATCCTAGACCCTTTCCTCTCTTTGGGGAGCTCAATGTCTGTAGGCTGGTATGCTGTGAATAAAATGGTCAGGGCGCTTGTAGACTGGTGTGCTACAGTTAACAAACAAAGTCAGGCCCTGTAGGCATGTGTGCTGTGGTTAACATGGTCGGACTCTGCAGGCTGGTGTGTTGGGTATTAACATAGTCAGTTTCCTGTAGACTGGTGTGCTGGGGGTTAACATGCGTCTTTGGGCCTCAACTGGAAAAGAAGGTAGGTCAGGACACTTGAAGGTGGGGTTGACTCAGTAAAACCCCTGTGCCTCAAACTGTGACACAAAGCTGAGGGTAACCAGCCACCATGAAGTCCTGGGGCACTGTCTCCACCCCTGTTGGAAACAGGTATGGTGTGATGAGTGGAAAGTAAGCTCATACTGTCTCTCAAAACATCTCACTCATTTCACCTAATTATACCAGACCCAGAGTCCAACTGAGTATGAGATAATCAGCATTGCTCTGAACTGCACAGCCTGCTGAAGGTGGAGTGCTTTAATGGCAGAGGATGTCAGTAAGTCTATGTCCCTGGATCCATCCCATCCTGTGACCAAGGTCACAGAAGTCATGCATTACGTTGCAGAGGTGGATCAAATGGAATGTGACTTTCTAGACAGTGTGTGGACCCCATGACACTTTTGAATGCATTCATGGGCAGGAGAGAGGTTTGCATGTGACTAATCCTGAAATTTGAATCTGCATGAAGATTTGCCTTCATCTGTGGACAGTTAGGAATCAATGCAGGGACATACATTCCTCTTTTCTGCTGCTTGCAGCAGGAGGACTATATATAATCAGGATTGAGGGTTATGGAGCTCATGAATGCAGCTTTCTGTGCGTCCCAGAGGCAGGAGGCACATAGGAAAGATGGCAGCACACCCTCACTGTATTCTTTTTCTATTTATTTATTTATTTATTTACTTATTTACTTATTTATTGTGCATGAGTATTTTGCTTGTGTGTATGTAACCACATCCTTGTAATGCCTGAGGACGCCAGAAGAGGATATCAGATACTCCAGAACTGGTTGGTTGTGAGTACCATGTGACTGTTGGGAGCCAAACCCTGGTCCTCTGCAAGAACAGTTAGTGTGCTTAACCGAGTATCCGATTATCCGTCTCTCTGGCCCCTTGGGGTTTTTTGTTTGTTTTCTTGGCAGCACCAAGCGATTTCATAAAATCAGAAAATATGGGATTAGTTATAACCACAGGAAAGTGAAAGAGCACTGCAGCTCTCCGAATCCAATGATCATTCTTTTTTAGATTTTTAAAGGATTTGAAAATGAACACTGTGGTTAAACTAGACTACAGGATTCCTGTTGTTTATCAAATGTATTGTGGAGCTGACACACTTTGCAGAAATACAGGCTCCAGTGCATTTAAAGTGAAATTCTATAAGAAAGGAATAAATCAATTTTCCTGGAAGTTATCAGTGTTTAATTACTTCTTTCAGCCAGCTGACTGGCTGCTTAATAATTGAAGGAAGACTGCTCATGTGCTTTCTGACTCCATAGGTGATTTTGCAAACATTTTCAGTGGTGTATGCTTTTGCTTGTGGATCTGAAATGTCTCGACAAAGAAAGAACACAGAATAAGACCAATGGATAAAAATCAGTGGGGGATTATATGCTCAATTTACAAAGAAAGTCTTGGTGCAGGACCGCCCAGGACAACTGGAAATTGGAAGCAAGGCTGTGATTTTCAGAAAGGAGCTCTAGGTGAGCTAGCTGGAGCCCCCCCCCCCACTCCATTCCTGCTCAACATGACTGAGTATATGTTGCCAAAGGGCACAGGACCAGAAGATTCCAAACTGAACTGTCTGGAGAGTGGGAAGACATTGACATTGTGAGTTCAGAGAGAGAGTTCATCTCTTCTGCTGCCTAAAGGCCACCTAAATAATTCTAGTCCAGTCAGGCTCTACATGAACGCTCAAGTCTTTTCACACTTCCTCCACCCACCATTGTGCAAACATCCAAACTAGAGAACTTGACCGTGTTCCCTGCCCCTGGGAAGCAGTTTTCCATGTTCCACTCCCTTCTCTGCCGGATCTTCTTGGTTGTTTTGCCAGAGTACTCCAAAGATGCCTTTCCTCGTGTCTCTGTTGTGTTTATATTCTATGTCAGAGTCTCTGCAGTATATTCCATAAAATGTCTGAAGGAGATGTTAGCACTGCGGTTTGGGTTATGATCAGGGTTTGGTCTCTTGTTCATATCTTAACGTGTGATATAGGTCCATGGGTTACAGGTAAGGGATGGTCAGCTTGCCCCGAACCTATGTGTAGCTGACAGAGGGTTCTTACCGCTACATGAAGAAGATGGTGGGGACTGTAGTACTTAGTGCCCAGTGCTGCATGAAACCCAGGAACCCTGGAGGACAGGCCCTGTAGCAGCAGGTGTACACCCATCACTGATGCATGAGAGTGTCAGACACTCAGTCAGTGCCCAGGCATGAAAAACTGCCCCTGTGTTTCCCATTCAGGCACGGACATGTGAGTCACACACACTGTCACCCAACTAAATATGGGGTCTTCAGACATGCTAGGGAATTGGTAAGAAGATTAAAAAATGAGATCAAGTAACTGGCACTAGGAAAATCTGCTTATCTCAAGAGACACTCCCTGCCACCCAGCATGCTCTCAGATGTTCTTGCTAACTTTGGTGTGTGTTCCATCATCCCTGAGAAGAAGGCCTGCACAAGCCTGGGTATGTTCAGCCCTTACTCTCTGTCCACAGAGTGGTTCACTCAAAGAGGTGTTTGTTGAACAACATTGGATGAATTCATTGACAAATAAGAAATCTCACAATTTTATATTCTGCTTTGATCCAACAGGTTACAATGGCAAGAGAGAAAAAAGCCAGTCGGGGGAAATGGTTGTTGTAAGGAGAGCATGTTCTGGAAGTGCGGGGTACAGCAGTCAGACACTGTACAGAGTAGAGAGGTGAAGATGCCCACACACTGGTGCTTTGCTGAGCTCAGATGCCCACACACTGGTGCTTTGCTGAGCTCAGGGTGAGCAGACAGAATCCAGATGCCCTTTCAGATGGAGGGCCAGGCTGCTGCAGGGGAGCTGTGCTGGGGAGAGGTCAGAAAGTGCGTGCTGCATCCTGCTTCATCACCTTCAACAGGAGGTGAGTGACAGTGATTTACTGAGGTGAGCCAGACAGGCCCTGTGGAGTTAGGTGAGCATCAGAAATGAGAGCAGGGGCAGAAAGCCAATATCCCACATCAAGTGTGTGAGCCACACAGATGAATGCATGTGTGTGAGGGAGGCAGCAGAGTTGGAGAGTCAGAAAGGAAGCATTTAGCTTGAATTGATGGAACCAAGGCAACTCCATAAGGGCTTGTGTGGACAGGGTCGATACTGAGGAAAAGAGGGATCTGAGAAAACTGAAAGGGAACGCAGGAGTGGGAGGGACGACAGCGATGACCGGCTCCTGCCCTCCTGTCCTTCAGGAGGTGGCCTTCCCCACCTCCTCAGCTGTAGCACATGAATTTTTGAGACACTTTGTTGGGCATGACCAGAATGCAGATACTGATGGCATAGTGTAGAAACCATGTAGAGTGCAGTGCCGGCCTCCATGTACTCAGAACCCACCCCAGAGTTCAGGTGAGGTAAGACCCTGGCCTCACTCTGATCTTAGTAGCCCTGAGCCCCACAGGTCTGTCCCTCAGAGCAGAGTGACAGGCTAGGGGCCAAGATGATTCTGAGACTCTCCAGAGACCTGGTGCTAGTCTGAGCATCTCTATCTACAGTTCCATTTTAATATCTGGTGCAATTCTCAGATTATGAGGGGATCTATGCTTGTTTTCATTTTGTTTCATGGGAATTTTGCCACCACATATTTTATTAATAGAATCCTGAAAATAACACTTGTGGCCTCAAACCTTGATCACAAACTTCATTTCCTTTGATTCATTATCTGTTTCAAATCAGTGTTATATGTATCTGTAACTAATTCATTTGATCACTAAAAGCTTCATCTAACAGACAAAACACTCCCGGCTGCTATAATTACAGTCCTTCATACATTCCTCCCTTCTTCCTTCTTTCTTTCCCTCCCCCTTCTCCCTCCCTCCCCTACCTTTCCTTCTCCCCTTTTTCCATTGTGGAGGGCGCTGATAAGTGCTGTCCAAGGTACTGAATATAGTGGCTGGGGAAGCAAACCTGCTTTCACAGAATATACATTTCAATGGGAGAAAACAGACAATGGTCAGGTGTGCTCTTGTTTGGATCAAGAAAAAATTAAATTCTCTCTGGAAATTTTATGTTC